CATTACAAGAAAGACCTCCTGGAACTGTGGAAGAATATGATCCCGAGACCAAACTTTACAAGGTTTTGTTCTTCGGATTTGCCGTTGTCAGTTTTCTTAAAATTCGTGTCTTTGCTTTTGTAGGTGAGATTCGAGGGCGACCAAACTGAGGAGATTAAATGGGAAGAACTACAGAAGTATATCCCACAAGAAATCATTTTCAAGAGGTAATCTTTACAATTTTTTTGTGCTTGCTTGGCGAATCTCTTCTCCTTTTTCCAGATTTTCGCAAAAGAAAAAAGAGCCAAGTGCTGACCAGCAAGATAAACCAGGAGAACAGTCTACAAACTCTGAAGCAGCTACAGATAGTGAGGATGATGTCAAGGCGAAGAATAGTGATTATGAACGGGAAGCAAGGATCCAGCAAGTGTCTAACGAGAACGCCATCGTGATCACGCAAGTTCAAGAAGTGCAAAGGATGGAGAAGATGGACATGCTTGCGGACGTCGTGGTTCAGAGCAAACTCGAGGTGGTGGCGACGAAGAAAAGGCCACGTAAATCCGTTGCTCCCGTGAAGCTGCAACAAGAGGTTGACGCAATCAGTAGTGGCGAGGAAGCGGATGAAGAGGACGAAGAGGATGACGAGGAAAGCCATGACGAAGATAGCGAGAGCCTAGACAGTTTAAGCGAGGACGGATCAGAAGACGAGCCAGAGATCGACAGTGAAGACGAGGACGACGACGAAGAGGATGAAGAGCGGGATAGGAAAGACGGAGTCGACGACGACAGTGATTGCAGCTTGAACGAGAGCGATCTGGAGAGGCTGAGGAAGAAGCCCAAGAAGAAACGAAAGCACGTCTTGACGCTGCAGAGGTGGAGGGGCTACAAGAAGAAGCGCAGGCTCGCGAAACAGGAGGGATCCGATGGCACCCTGGCGATCAAGCGGCAGAAGAGACCCAAGAAGCCGACTCCAGTGGACGAGTTGACGAGGCGGCGTCAGGTCATCGCAGCGGAGCTCAAGAGGAAACTCAAGGAGAGCTGTGCGAATCTCAAGCGGAAGAAGAAGAAGAAGAAGACCGTGGCTGTGGAGTCTATTGTGGAGCCAAGCCTGGTGGAGCTGAGTCCGGCAAAGCTAGCTCTTCCGGAACCACCCGAGGTGCTGGAGTCGCCGGAGCCGTCTCCAAAATCTCTCGAGGTTGCTACTCCTTCCACAGCGATTACTTCTACGAACTTAAACGCGAGCGAGAGCAAGCCATCGCCGTTCGACCGGGGAATCAAGCTCCGGGGACGCAAGCTGAGGAAGAGATTCAATGGAAGGGTCTTTCGCGGCGAAGTTGCGGACTACGACAGAAGGAACCGACGCTACAAGGTTTGGTCTCGAAAGAAGTATTTCTGCATGGATTTCTTATCTGTGAGCTTGTCATCAGGTCCGATACGAAGATGGCGACGAGGAGCAGCTAATGTGGAAGGACGTGGGGCCGCTGCTGGTGCCATTCGAGGAGCTGCATACGTGGGACGATCCAAACTATCAGCCACAGCAAACGCGAGTTATAAGCTCGGAGCTCCTCGCAGTGGAGAAGAAGGCCAGGGAGGAGAAGCTAAAGCTTCCAAAACTCAAGCCTCAAGTCGTCAAGTAAGAAAGCTCTCTCTCTCTCTCTCTCTCTCTCTCTCTCTCTCTGTGTGTGTCTGTTTTGTGATTCTTTGTTTGATGTTTGTATTTCCTAACTTATTCTTTGTGTAGGCTCTTTGGTTGATGATTAAAGATCTCTCATCGTTTGTGACTAGATTCATTGTGTGTGTTTTGTGATTCTTTGTCTGATGTTTGTATTTCCTACCTGATCCTTTGTGAAGGTTCTTTGGTTGATGGTTAAAGGTCTCCCACCGTTTCGTTTGTGACTAGATTCATTGCTTGATGGTTTGATCTCATCGCTTTTCTTGTTTGTGACTAGATTCATTTGATTTTTATATCCAGTTTAAGTTGTAGTACCTCTTCATTGACAGGAAAGAGCGGAAGGAACGTTGAAACAGGTGATCCAAAGGTCGTCCAAAGGTCGTCAACGTACATCAGCTGCAAAATTTTAACTTGAATTCATTACGTTGTAGCACGTGGTGTAGAGACCTGGTAGTGACGTGTTGTTTCTAGCCGCCGCGTTTTTCCAGGTGCATTCTAGCTGCAGGCTTTTACTGACATAGACTTGTACTTTAGGGCAATGTTGGCATCAATCAGAGAGCATCAAAGCATCATCGCATCCTTGCCCGTAGATTTCTCTTGCCGAAGAGCAGCATCACAGGGCTTGGCAATGGATCAAAGGGCCGCATCTCAATGCCTGGCAATGGATCGGCAATCGTGGGTATTCACCAAACAGGTAAATTGCTCTTGTGGAGGAGGAGGGAGAGCTACTGGATCGCTACCATCACGCTTGCATTGGCTTCCATCGCCTAATAAGCTTCCCCCGATCGCTCGCTCCGTGCGGAGATTGCCAAGTCCTCTGGCGGCGGCGGCAGTAAATACCAACGGTTCTTGCGCGGTTAGAGAGAACCACCGGGATTATGTGCATTGGTTCAGGGAAGCGTGGCCATACATCCAAGGCCATCGCGGCAGCACATTCGTGATCGTTGTCCCAGGCGAGATTTTGGCAAAGCGAGAGACTCTAGACAATATCTTGCAGGTTCTTGTGGTGATCTCAATTGTTCCTGGCTGATTTGCCTCGACTTTGCCAGGATGTTTCACTGCTCCATGGATTGGGAATCAGATTGTGCTCGTTCCGGGGGTCCGCGTCCAAATCGACGATCTTCTCCGGGAGAGGGGTAAGGAGATTTGGATCTGCGAGAGGAGGGACTCTAGTTTTTCGAGCGGAAAAGAGAGGTTGGATTCCAGAGGAACGACACAAACAGCTAATAAATGCTTGTAGATTGCAGGTAGAGAGCCGAGATATGTTGGAGCTTACAGGATAACTGATGCTCACGCTCTCGATGCTTCCATGGAGGCGGCTGGAAAATTGCGCGTCGAGATAGAGGCGAAGCTCTCACGGGGACCAAGCATCCCTGTTCTTCGTCGGCATGGCGAGAATGAAAGGTGGCACGAGTCCGGCTTGGGTGTTGCGAGTGGGAATTTTCTGTCAGCAAAGGTTCGTGAAGGCGTGATGAGAATCTGCGTAACGATCTGGGCTTGAACTGTGCAGCGAAGAGGCGTGGTCAATGGAGTGGACTTTGGAGCGACTGGAGAAGTGAAAAAGATTGATGCGGAACGCATCAAAGAGAGGCTCGACAAGAACTGCATCGTCCTGATGAGCAATCTTGGGTATTCTAGCACGGGAGAGGTTCTAAACTGCAAGTAAGCATCCATTGCCTTTGATCTTTGATCTTTCTTTCTTTTTCTTAAAACGCTTTTAGTACGTACGAGGTGGCGACGGCGTGCGCGGTGGCTCTTCAGGCTGACAAGCTTTTGTGCCTGCTCGACGGTCCGGTTCTTGACGAGAATGGATTCCTGATTCGCTTCATGACACTTCTTCGGGCCGACCAGCTGATAAGACAGCGCGCAAGCCAAAGTTACATCGCTGCCGATTACGTGAAGGCTCTGGCGGGGGCAAGCTACGCGAAAAGTCTCGGTCTAGCGGACGTTCCTTTCACGAATGAAAGGCGCGGTTTTTATGTGAGTGCGTCCACCGGCGACTTAGCACTCAGCGAAGAGAACTATGATTCCTGCGGGAAGGGGTTTGCTGTTGGTGGCTTGGTGCGGACACAAGGATACTTATCGGAGTTGACGGCCTCTGTTCACGTTTGTCGGGTAAGAACTTCGGAGCTTTCGAATATTTTTTTTTCTTTCGCGAAATTGAAGCTGTGCCGTGCTGGTCCTTAGGCAGGGGTAAGGCGGGTCCATCTCTTGGATGGTACCATTGAGGGAGCTCTTCTCCTTGAGCTTTACACCAGAGATGGAATAGGCACGATGATCGCAAGGTAAAGTCTCGTTGTTCATCAGTTTTAAATTGTTTGTGATGTTTGGATCTTTGACTGATGATTTAATGCTCAATACAGTGATATGTACGAAGGCATTCGTTGTGCCACCAAGGACGATCTTCAGGATGTAGAGAAGTTATTGCGTCCTCTGGAAGAAAGTGGGATACTCGTGAAAAGGTCGCGGGAAAAGGTACTTTGTTTATTCACTCTCGATTCCGATGGCTCTCAATGAGATGTTCTCCACAGTTACGAGGGGAGCTGGAGCATTATGTCGTCGTGGAAAGAGAAGGATCGTTAATTGCCTGCTGCGCACTGTACCCTTTCCTCAAAGACAAATGCGCAGAAGTTGGAGCTTTCGCTGTTTCTCCCGAGTGTCGCGGCCACGGCCAAGGCGACAGCCTACTCGGTTCGTGCATGCATCTTTCTAGTTTATTGTTTCCTATGCGGAGCATCGAAACTAACCGGTTTCGCGATTGCAGATTATGTGGAGCAAAAGGCTGCTGCAATGGATTGCCAGTATCTCTTCCTCTTGACAACTCGCGCCGCAGATTGGTAAACACTCTCGTCGATCTTTACGATCTTTGGATGAAAAAAGAAAAAAAAAAACGTTTTTGTTTATGTTTCTCCAGGTTCGTTAGCAGGGGATTTTTCCAGTGCCCCCTGGAGCAACTGCCGGCGGCGAGGCGGTCCGGAATAGACTTCACGAGAGGCTCCAAGTATTACATGAAGTCCTTGCAGCGCACAGCTCGCCCTCCAGTTTTGAGGCGATGTCTCGAGTCTATAGAGTGAGTACGCGTCCGTTTTCTTTTTTCTACTTTGTTAAGGAGTCCGTGTGAGAGCCTGTCCTTTCAACTTCACAGGTAGAAGATGTATACGCGGGCGAGAATAATGCGTCAAGCTTTTCGGGATGGGAGAAAACTTTCTTCCACAACTTGGCTGTACTTGTCCGGGAGAGCATTCGATCGATCCAGTCGTCCTCGCGGAAGAGCGAGCGAGCGAAAGAGAGGAGAAAGAAAACTGGTTTCTTGGAAGCGAGAATTTTGCCGAGCAGTGGTGAATGCCAATACAGCCGGTGTGATTCTTTGGTACAAAAAAAAAAAAACCAAGCACACTCCTTTAAAACATTAAAGTGTAGCCGTTATAAAGGCTCGCGTTTAAAAAGATGGGGTGAGATCCCAGCCGCTAGATCCGACGGTGATTGGAGGCCGTCAATATCCGGTCCAACTTCCTTGGAACACACCCGTACGGAACGCGGATGAAATGGCCCATGGTGGGTGGCGCAGGGATAAAGATTCCCTGGAGATGCTGGTATGGCAGGGTCGCCTCACTGGCTCACTGGCATTGGTATAGTTTCCTCCTCCTAGGGTTTTACTACTCTTTTCGTTCTTTCGCCCTTCTTCGCGCTTCCTCCTGCCAGGGCTGCGTCGTGATGATCGTCTTGGAAATCTCTACCGCAATGACGGCGATCTGCGGCCCTGCGCAGTGATTCTTTCCCCCCGTTCTTGAAATCTTTGCTCTTCTTGATCGATCGATCGATCGATCTTTCGATCTTTCCATGGCGCGGCTGGAGATCCGGGTCGCTGCCCTCGTGTTCTTGCTGGCGCTGTCGCGGTTCCGATGCGACGAGGAGGAGATTTCGCGCAAGACTTACATTGTGAGGATGGACAAGGGAGCAATGCCGGCGATATTTCGGACGCACGAATCCTGGTATGAATCCACTCTCGCAGCAGCGTCGGGAATCCACGCCGCCGCCCCGGCGGCCGAATTCATCCACATCTACAACACGGCGATGCACGGATTCGCGGCCAAGATGAGCGCTCGCCAGGCGGCGGCGCTGGAATCCGCCCCGGGATTCATCCACATGTTTCCAGACTCCGCCAAGAAGCTCCACACGACGTATAGCCCACAGTTCTTGCATCTGGAGCAGTCCAACCACGCGCCATCGCTCCTCTGGAAGGATTCCACCTATGGCTCCGAGGCAATCGTGGGGATCTTCGACACTGGCGTGTGGCCGCAGAGCCAGAGCTTCGACGATCGCAAGATGTCGCCGGTTCCATCGCGGTGGAAGGGGACCTGCCAGGCCGGCCCGGGCTTCGATCCAAAGCTGTGCAACCGCAAGCTCATCGGTGCGCGATTCTTCTACCGCGGCTACGAGGCGATGAGCGGTCCTATCAACGACACCACCGAATTTAAGTCGCCCAGGGACTCGGACGGCCACGGCACGCACACGGCCTCCACTGCCGCCGGGCGGGACGTGTACCGCGCGGACCTCCTCGGCTTTGCCGCCGGCACCGCTCGCGGCATGGCGCCCAAGGCACGCATCGCCGCCTACAAGGTCTGCTGGCAGTCGGGCTGCTTCGACTCGGACATCCTCGCGGCTTTCGACCGCGCTGTCTCGGACGGCGTGGACGTGATCTCTCTCTCGGTCGGCGGTGGAGTGATGCCTTACTACCTCGACAGCATTGCCATCGGCTCCTTCGCGGCCATGGAGCGGGGGATTTTCGTGGCTTGCTCGGGCGGGAACGAAGGCCCGACTGATATGTCGGTGACCAACATCGCGCCTTGGATCACCACCGTCGGGGCCAGCACCATGGACCGGAGCTTCCCCGCGAATGTGAAGCTGGGCAATGGGATGGTGATACAGGGGGTGTCGCTCTACAGTGGGAAAGGACTCCCTCACCACCAGCAGCTAAAGCTCGTGTTCCCGAAGCCCAACACCAAGAACGACTCGTACAGCGCGTCGCTGTGCATGAAGAACACCTTGGATCCCAAGGCGGCGAAGGGAAAGATCGTGTTTTGCGAGCGCGGGAGCAATCCTCGCGTCGAGAAGGGATACAACGTCCTCCAGGCGGGCGGAGCCGGGATGATCCTCGCAAACGCGGTCGCGGACGGCGAAGGCCTCGTCGCGGACAGCCATCTTCTCCCGGCGACAGCAGTGGGAGCTCGGTCCGGTAGCGTGATCCGGAAGTACATGCACAGCACCAGGAATCCAACCGCGACGATAGAGTTCCTGGGGACAGTGTATGGCTCCGGCAACGCGCCAGTGATCGCGTCCTTCTCGTCGCGCGGTCCCAACCCGGAGACGCCCGAGATACTCAAGCCCGACTTGGTGGCTCCAGGCGTCAACATTCTGGCCTCGTGGACCGGCGACGCGGGGCCGACGGGGCTCTCGGCGGACACGAGACGCGTCAAGTTCAACATCCTGTCCGGGACTTCCATGGCCTGTCCTCATGTCAGTGGCCTCGCCGCGCTGCTCAAGTCGGCACACCCGACTTGGAGCCCGGCCGCCATCCGCTCGGCGCTCATGACAACTTCTACAATGGAGGGGAAGTCCGGGCACGTAATCGGCGACGAGGCCACGTCCAACTCTTCCACGCCATTCGACTTTGGATCCGGGCTCGTGGACCCCGTGAGCGCTCTCGACCCGGGCCTGGTGTACGACTTGTCGGTGCGGGACTACGAGAGGTTCCTGTGCGGGCTGAACTACTCGAGCAGGGCCCGGTCGACCGTCACCCGGAGTCACTTCTCGTGTAGCAAGGACAGCACGACGAGGGACCGGCCCAGCAGCCTCAACTATCCGTCCTTCTCGGTGGTGTTTGATCTGAGCCAGAAGGCTTACACCACCACGGTGTCAAGGACTGTGACCAACGTTGGGCCGGCGAAGTCTTTGTATACTGCGAGGGTGGTGGCGCCGAGGGGAGTGGAGATCACTGTCAAGCCCAGCAAGCTCGAGTTCCAGAAAAGGAACCAGAAGATGGAGTTTCAGATGAGCATCACGGCCAAGTCGTCGCGGTCTGTGGCGGCGGGCGAGTCGGAGACGCAGTTCGGGGTGCTGATTTGGAGCAACACTCGCGGAGGACGACAGATGGTGCAGAGCCCGATCGCCATCAGCCGGCAGCAGCCATTTTGATTCGATTCGATCGATCGACAGGAGAGAAGGTACCGTTATCATGAATGATGTGATCTTTGGATAAGCAGCTCGCTCACCACCATTCCAGGAAAGCTTTCTCTCTCTCTCTCTCTCTCTCTCTCTCTCTCTCTCTCTCTCTCTCTCTCTCTCTCTCTCTCTCTCTCTTTTTCTTTGTTCTTTCTTGTTTCGTCCCAGAGCAACTCTCCTCCAAATCAAATAAGTGAGATCTCCGATTCTCTCCGGAAGAAAGGAATTTTGGAGCGTTTCGTAAGGCTTTTGGCTGGAAAGCCTTACAGTGAGATTGCGATTCCATTCAAAAAATTCCAGGAAAAAGATTTGCACCTTCTTGTCATGCTTGAGGCCTCTGGCACGCACTGAAGAGACGCCAAGTTACCAAAGCCATGGCAACCGCTGCCGACATCTCAAATCCCACGACTTTGGAAAAATCCCACTTAAGTCCTCGATGCAAGTAGCTGAAAGGATAGAGACGAACGAAACTTTTAAGCTCTTACCACCAGCAACTACGGAAGAACTTTAAATGAAGGGAGGAACCTGCTGATCGACGGCATAGCTGCGAGGATTCCAGCGCTGGTGTAGATGATTGGAACTAATGCCGACGGCTTGGATTTTCGAAGCCACATTAACGATCCCAGAGCGGCCAAAGACACTGTAAGAACCTGGAAACACAGGAGAAACAATTCGTGAACTCGAACAAAAGATGACACAGCAAAAACGAAAGTCGAGAAAAACTTCGAGACAGCACAAGGGTGCTTACCAGGTTCACGTTTGCTTCAATTCCTTGCAGAAGATAGTCCCAGGTGAATTCGTGGCCTTTTGCTCCCACCCACAGCGGTGCGAGCCTGTGCAGCAGTGAATCCGCAAACGCCCATCCTGTGAAGATCTAAAAACTTTAAAACGCTGCTCTTCAGCTCCAAGGCTGCGCTGCGCTCGAAAGAAAAAATAAAGGAAGAAAAACATACCGAGCCCAATGGCTTGGAACTTGTGATTCTGAGAGATGTTCCGGTACGTGAGCTGAGTGAGCGCGAAATACATGCCGGCTACATCCAGAAAACCGATAAGCGCCTTCAACATCTCCTGGAAAGAAAACAAAAAACGTTAAAAGTTGGCCTTTTTTTTTTCTTCTTTTCTCTCCTCGCTCGCTTTGAATGCCTTCACTTACTTGGGATGGATGGAAATCATCGTTATCCGATGCCTGTAAAAACGTTGCGAAAAGCACAAGCTGCATAGCAAATCCAGAGATTTTTGGTCGAAAACACACCAAAACAATGTAGATTCTCGAAAACACACCAAAAGAATGTAGATTCTATGCACGAGAACGCTTACCTTGATCAATGTAGTCCCCAGATACACAAGCGCGGCCTTAACACACGTCCCAACAGTGTCATACTCAGATCTAAGGCAATCATGGCGTCAATCTGAGACAAATTCGGATCGGCAGATCAGACTGATACTCACAGTGGCGTCGCCTTGTAGTAGACAGCGTGCGGGCCAAACGTGAGCGCGGCGCAATTGAAGAAGTGGAAGAGCGTCATTGCTCCAGCTCCAAAACCCTAAACCTAAAGGGTTATCTAATAACTCGGTTTAACCCTTTGTTTATAATCAAAAGGACACAGTAAGCACTTTTATTGTTGTCTGGGCAATCCAAAGAAATTTCATGGGAACTCTCTGTTTCTCAGGACAAATCGCCCGATCATCGTCCAAACTGCAACCCAGTCATGTGAATTTTATTTTATTTTCACCAAGATCTCATCTTTTGAGCTTACTGTAAATCGCTGCTGCTGCCCATTCGTTTGCGATCTTCACCCACACGCTGGCCCAGCCAACATCGATGCTGTATCTGATCAAGGAAACACAAAGACTAGAAAAGAAGAATCCCAGAGCTTGTGCTCTTACTTGTGCATTGTTTGATGGAGGTTCCAGCCGATGAAAAGCATGGCGAAGTACATGGAGCCGAGAGCAAAGACGAGGTGGAAGAAGCCATAGCCGTAAGGCACTTCGTCGTCAAGCTCGAAGCTTTTCTTGGGCAGCTGATACACGAACAAGAATCAAACAAGAGAAGATTGTGAGAGACAACGACTTACACAAAATGTTTGTGAGTCTGTCCCGGTGGAATACGCAGCCATCACAATCGCCGCTAAGGCAATCACGAAACTCTGAAAATTCCCCACTATGGAATTAAACATTCAGTGAGTGTCAATGCTTTACCAACAGAGTTAACCAGTCGCTCTTCCCGGTTTGCCTCGGTCTTGTGTTGCATGCCTCGGACAATGGCTCACTGGAAAAGTTGAAGCTTGCGAGGTTTTACACAAGAAAAAAGAGATTTTTGTACCTCATTATGGCTGACCAGCAGAGAAAGCACAGATAAACCGACATTAACCCCGAGGTCATCAGTCCAGCATTCACCTAGAAGGAAAAAACGATGAAGGAAAACTCCATTTGTATGTGAAATACTTGCCTTGGAGTGGAGAGAAATAGCGGTCATGACATTGATGAGAATGGCCGTCCAGGAAGTGAAAAAGATGTTGAGCGTGCAAGATATATGTGGAGCAAACCACAGGCTCATGTACGTTGTGGCAACGATCGAGGCTCCAAAGCTGACAAAAGCAACCACAAGCATGGGAGCCTTGCTACACAAAAACAAAAAGGTAAAGAAGATATATCAAAAGGAAAGTAGCACAAGACAAATGTTAACTTACACACCATTTCTCCTCGGAGAGCCACTCTTCGTTCCACCAGTATATGAAATTGATAACGCTCAGAAGCTGGATAAGAAGGAAAATCCTACAAGGAAAACAATATTTGAGGACTTGCTACGTTTTCTTGCAAGAAAACAAAAAGTTTTACCCAGCTCCATAGCGTGCCACTTCTCCTGTTAAGCAAAAGAGAGTGGAAGATCTCACGGTGAGCGTTTGTATCGTAGAGCTTGTGTAACTTACCATAGATGTGGATAAACGATGGAGGAACAAGGAAGGGTAGCACCATGAGAATCACCCACATAACGCCTTTGGCAGGCCACCATCCGTTGTGCCAAGCATCTCGCGCTCCATACAGACGTGTTGTTCCAACGGTTGTCACAAACATGACGAGGAAGAACACCTTCAAGTTCCAAGTTGTCTGCGTCAAGGAAAGACACTCGAAGAAAGAAAAACTCGCCGGGAACCAGAGGAGCTAAAACCTTGATAGCAACTTTGGAAAGAAATATAAAGTACTGGCTTGGAACTTTGAGAAGAAGATAACCTTACACTGACAGATTGAGGGATAGAACTTCAGATGCAGGATCATACAAGTTCAGCTTAGGAACTCTGGAAAAACAAACTCAACCCAATGAATGAAAGTTTTCTCCAAAGGATACAAAGCAGCCAAAACTGATGCGAAGAACACCTTCCGATCCAAGACAGTTGTGGCCTCCAAGGCAACCCTCCAAATCTGATACACACAGCTTCAAACCAATAAAAACTTGGGATAAAAAATGGAAGAATGAAGAGAAACGAAACTTACAATGAAGCTCGGAGAGAGCCCTGTGGCTGTAGTCTCGCACCACCCAGGCGATGAGAGTGGTGAGCATGAAAATAATCCCATAGATATAGCGGGCAGCGCTTCCATGGGCAATGGAACACGACGATGGCTTGATGCTTTCTAGCGAGGCGTGATCGCCGGAGCTCTCCAGATCCATTTTTTTTTCTCTTCTAAGTGTTCTTGAGCAAAACACACACACACACACACGCAACACTGGGAATGATTAAGAATCTATTTGAGGAAGTGGCTACCGAGCGATCCCCATCGAGCTCTACGAGAAAGTGCGCGTATTTTCCACCCAAAAAAAGTGCGACTCCATTTTCGAGCTACATAGCAAGAACAGAAACCCTAAAACAGAACAGTTCGCATGTGAAAGTTGTGTAGGAAAACTTTAAAAAAGTCATTTAAAATCACAGCAACTGGTAAGGATTGTATTCAGAAGTATGCAGCAAAACTCCTCCCTTGGCACCCTCCCAACTGCTTCTTCACCACAATCTTTGTCACCTGTGCAAGGGCTTGCATCATACGATTCACCATCTACTGTAAATTGTTCACGAGGAAGGTTTTGTCGATTAAGAAGTTGTGTTGATTCAAATAATCGTTTATTCAGTTGTTCAGATTATATAACTTTAAAATAATTTAAAGTATAATAACAATTATGAAACACTTTTGATTTTTTTTTTAAAAAAATCATATACTAAAAATATTTTCCTTCAAAAAAATTTATTGATTAAAATATTTATGTTAAATGGTATAAATTTTATTATTAAATGTTCTTAACGAAGAAGTAAAAAGTGGGAGCATTCAATTTCTTATGGTATTTTTAATAGACAAAGTGATCAAATAAAGTATTTTTCTTACAGGGAAAACATAAAACCCAAAGTCAAATCGATTATGAAATCCTAATGGATTAATTACAACTTTGTATGTAATTGCCAAAATGGCCAAAGCGTCCCTTGTTCCTCAAAATTTGAGTACATTTCTTTCTTGTTATTTTTTATTTCTACCTTTGACACTCTCGCTTGAAGACTTGAGCTTTGGCTTCTGTCCAACGACCCAATCGAATTGATCGATCAAAAGCGATGAAGCGAGTCGAGGATCTCAACGTCCAGTTCCAACACCCTTTTGCGATCCAAACTCATGGATATCACCGTTCCAAAAGAGTTCACGTTCAGTTCACGTTAAGACCAAGCACACTATGGCCCGTAAAAGAGAGGCTCGGCAATACTCGGAACCACCGGAGATAATGCGGTTCTTTCTAAATATAAAAAAATTTCACAAGCAAAACCTCGGCTTCTTTTCTCGAGCTTAATCAACCTCCTCGATCTTGGGACCGGCGCCGGCGCCCGCCCCGGCACCACCACCTCCAGCACCCGGATACCCGCCGGCTCCAGCACCGGGCATGGGCATATCACCCGGGGCCCCTCCAGCTCCCTGGTACATCCTCGCAATTATGGGGTTGCAGATGCTCTCCAGCTCCTTCATCTTGTCCTCAAATTCGTCCGCCTCGCCCAGCTGGTTCTGATCCAGCCACTGAATCGTCTGCTCCACCGCGTCCTCAATCTTCTTCTTGTCGTCAGCATCCAACTTCCCAGCGATCTTGTCATCCCGGATGGTGTTCCTCATGTTGTAGGCGTAGTTCTCCAACGAGTTCTTCGCCTCCACCTTCTTCTTGTGCTCCTCATCCTCGGACTTGTACTTCTCGGCCTCGGACACCATCTTCTCGATCTCGTCCTTGCTCAGCCGACCCTTGTCATTGGTGATGGTGATCTTGTTCTTCTGCCCAGTCGTCTTGTCCTCGGCCGACACGTTGAGGATGCCATTCGCGTCGATGTCGAAGCACACAGTGATCTGCGGGACACCCCGAGGCGCAGGAGGAATCCCAGAGAGTTCGAACTTGCCGAGCAGATTGTTGTCCCGGGTCCTCGTCCGCTCGCCCTCGTACACCTGGATCAACACTCCAGGCTGGTTGTCCGAGTACGTCGAGAACACCTGCTCCTTCTTCGTCGGGATGGTCGTGTTCCTGGGGATGAGCACCGTCATCACACCTCCGGCGGTCTCCAGCCCAAGCGAGAGCGGCGTCACGTCCAGCAAGAGGAGGTCTTGGACCTTCTCGTTGCCTTCCCCGCTCAGGATGGCGGCCTGGACCGCGGCCCCATACGCCACCGCCTCGTCCGGGTTGATGCTCTTGCACAGCTCCTTGCCGTTGAAAAAGTCCTGGAGCAGCTGCTGCACCTTCGGGATTCGGGTGGAGCCGCCAACGAGCACAACATCATGGATGCTGCTCTTGTCCATCTTCGCGTCCCTCAGGCACTTCTCCACCGGCTCCATGCACTTCCTGAAGAGGTCCATGTTGAGCTCCTCGAACCTGGCGCGGGTGATGGTGGTGTTGAAGTCAATGCCGTCGAAGAGCGAGTCGATCTCGATTGTCGTCTGCGCAGTGGACGAGAGAGTCCTCTTGGCGCGCTCGCAAGCGGTCCTCAGTCTCCTCAGCGCCCGGGGATTTCCACTGATATCCTTCTTGTACTTGCGCTTGAACTCCTGGACGAAGTGATTCACCATCCTGTTGTCGAAGTCCTCACCACCCAAGTGAGTATCTCCGGCAGTCGCCTTCACCTCGAAGATACCCTCCTCGATCGTCAGCAGCGAGACGTCGAAGGTCCCGCCACCCAGATCGAAGATGAGGACGTTCTTCTCGCCAGCGCTCGTCGCCTTCTTGTCCAGGCCGTAGGCGATGGCCGCGGCGGTGGGCTCGTTGATGATCCTCATGACGTTCATTCCAGAGATGACACCAGCGTCCTTGGTGGCCTGCCTCTGCGAATCGTTGAAGTAAGCGGGCACCGTGATGACCGCGTTCTTCACAGTGGCGCCCAAGAAGGCCTCGGCAATCTCCTTCATCTTGTTCAGGACCATGGAAGAGATCTCCTCGGCCGCGAAGGTCTTCTCCTCGCCCTTGTAGGTGACCGTGATCATCGGCTTCTCGGCGGCACCAGCAGTGACCTTGAATGGCCACAACTTCATGTCGCTTTGGACCGAAGAGTCCGAGAATCGCCTGCCGATCAAACGCTTCGCATCTGAGAAAGAAATCGCACAAGAACAGTCAGACGAGAGGTCCGAGAACTAGATCTACATGAAGAGCATCAAGAAAAAGCTAGATTTCGACAAGAAAAGGCTAGATTTCGACTAGATCAAGCAGATTTCGATCGGAATTCCTAGATCTAGCTAGAGATTCCACTCACCGAAGACAGTGTTGACGGGATTCATCGCGACCTGGTTCTTGGCGGCGTCGCCAATCAGCCGCTCCGTGTCGGTGAAGGCCACATACGACGGCGTCGTCCTGTTTCCCTGATCATTGGCGATGATCTCCACCCGATCGTGCTGCCACACACCGACGCAAGAATACGTCGTGCCCAGATCAATCCCCACAGCGGGACCTTCTTTCGCCATAGCTGAATCTCACAACCTCTCTTCTTTTCCTCTCTCCTTTGGGAGGGCTTCTTTATAAAGACCGGCACGGTTCTAGCAGAACTTTCTAGAAAACCCGGGCACCCACAAGCCGTAGGATCGCCTCTCGGGGCCATCCCGCCGTCCACGCCTTCGTGAATATTCTAGATGCATCGGGCCATTCCGGGCCGGAGCCGTTAGATCAAGGTGAGTCAGCCACCGATCTGGACCGTCGGGTATAGGGCGCTTTTAGGGCCACGCCCGTACATCCCATTTTATTCCGTCCGTACACAGAGTACATTCGCCAGGAATATGCCTTCGTCACTATCCTCCGCTCACTGGCGGGATGAGGGCTACTTCATCGCCGTGCTTGAGCTGCGATGGCTCGCAAACGTACTCGTGATTGAGCGCTACAATGAGAACGCCCTTGATCTCCTCCAATCCCGGGAATCGCGATAGCAATTCTTCCACACAGTCGCGCGTGGTGGAGCTCGCGCGTAGCTCCAGTTTCATCTGCGACACACCCGCGATCTCGCGCGCCCTCGCGAAGAACAGCACATCGACCACGACATTGTCATTCTCCTTGCCCTGCGATTCCATGGAGAGCATTAGGGCATAGGACAAATGCTAGGGCAAACGCTATGATCTTAGATCTGGCGGAGGGATGATCGCGGGATTGAGCGCGGAGGAGGCGCGGGCCATCTCCAGGATAAATGTGGGCGCCTCCGCCTTCTCCTTCGCTGGATCCTTCTTCATCGTCGCGTGCTTCCTCCTCTTCAAGGAGCTTCGCAAGTTCTCATTCCGCCTCGTCTTCTACCTCTCGCTCTCTGTAAGTTCTTTGGATTCCATTCGAGCTCTTCATTCCAATCTCTCTTCTTTTTTGCCAGGATATGTTTTGCAGCTTCTTCAATCTCTTGGGGTAAGCTTTCTTCCAGCTTTCGATATTCTCTATCGTTTTTCCTTTTGTTTCTTCGATCACTCACAGTGGTGCAGTGATCCTGGAAGATGATTTCTTCCAACTTTCTATCGTTTCTATCGTTTTTTTTTCCTTTTGTTTCTTCGTGATCCTGGAAGACGATCTCTTCCAACTTTCTATCGTTTCTATCGTTTTTTCCTTTTGTTTCTTCGCTTGTGGCTGGATTCACTCACAGTGGTGCAGTGTGGCAGTGATCCTGGAAGACGAGGCTTCTTGTGCTACATGCAAGGCTACTGTACGCAGTTCTTCTCGGTGGCATCGTTTCTATGGACGACCGCCATCGCGTTTACGTTGCATCGAACTGTGGTGAGGCACAAAACAGATGTGGAAGAGCTCGGTCCAATCTTTCATCTTTACGTCTGGGGTATGCTCTTCCTCGCACAAAGTTTCATGGTTTTACACCACTTCTCCATGTTTTCCAGGAGCTTCTCTTATCATGACTGTTCTTCCATCTGTGGGAACTGACTATGGCGAAGTTGGAGCTTGGTGCTGGGTGCAGACCAAAGCCGGAGAGGTAATCTCTTTGCTTGGAGCTTCTCTATTGTGTGATCGATCCATTTTCTTTGTTCCAGGTCCTTCGGTTTATAAGTTTCTACGTTCCCTTGTGGGGGGCCATCTTGTTCAATGGTTTTATTTATTTCCAAGTTACTCGTATGCTCAACTATGCGAGCCGTGTAAGCAAGCAAGAGGGTCTCTTTTTTCCGCGATATGGAACTTCTTGCTTTTGCAGATGGCTGCTGGCATGTCGGATCGACAGCGCCAAGTGGAGATAAAAGCCGATCTTAAGGTATAACTCGCGTTGTCGCTGGTTTTAAACTTTGGTTTGATTTTTCTTCTCTTAGATTATGAACAGGCTGGGATACTATCCTCTGATTTTAATCGGTTCCTGGACGTGTGGGACAATGAATCGCATCCAAAGCTTCATTGCTCCACAGCGTCCAGTCTTCTGGCTGTGCTTGCTGGACGTAGGCACTGCCTCTCTCATGGTCCGTGCCTCTATCCAATCGCTACGAGAGTCCGTATAAAGAGTAGAGTTTCTTACATTATTCTTGTTCCAGGGCCTCTTCAATTCCATAGCCTACGGCCTCAACGCTGCTGTGCGGCGAACGCTACGAGAGAGACTACAACAGTAAGTAGTTGCAAAAGAGTAAACCACGAAATGGATTTCACTGACCGTCCATTTTTGACGCAGATACTGGCCAGAGAAGTACAGGTGGTCTAAGCTGCGAGGCTTTGCCGAAAGCGAAATGACTCCATTGAGCTCGTCTGACCCAGGGTCTCAGCTGTAAATGTCCTCCTTTTGGTTGTCCCTTGATAGCTAGCACCGCGTGCTTCTCGACGAGTGGAATAAAACGATGATGTAAGATACTCTCCCGAATTGACAGAGAAGAACGCACTTTACACGCATCCTTGCTCAAGCATCGCCTGCGCGACACGCAAGAAGCCAGCTACGTTGGCACCGTGGACTAGAGCTCTGCGAATCACTGGTGAGTAGCCAGACAAAACAAAAAGAGAAAACAACTCACTCTGGCCCATCTTTAGAGTGGCCACACGCTGCAGCTGCTGCCACGGACTTTTGATAGATGTCCCTCATGAGCTCCTAAATTGAAACGTTAATAAACTGGAAATAAAAATGATAGTACCTGTAACTTGGTATCAACTTCTTCGCCAGTCCAATGCATTTGGTTGCTTTTGCTAGCCATCTCCAGCCCCGAAACCGCTACCTGTATGTAACTCAAAGCTAAGAGCGTGGTGAGCGACTATCGGACTTACTCCTCCAGCATTTGCAGCTTTGCTAGGGGCCACGATTATCTTCGACTTCCTAAGCACGTCAATAGCTTCCGCCGTGCAAGACATATCAGAACCTGCAAGAGCCGTTGTTCATAAAAGTAGAAACGAAATGATACTTACCTTCCACAATTACATGACATCCTGAAGAGATAATTGCCAGTGCATCAGAATGGTTAAGCTCGTTCTGTGTAGCACAAGGGAATGCGAGATCACATTTCTCGCCCCAAGGCCTGGCATCGTCAAAATATTTCGCTCTTACGTATCTCCTTGTATACTCCCTGTAAACGAGTGTTACAGACTGCAAGTCGTTCGAGATAAAAGAACCTCAGAGGCTTTTGCTGCGACTTCATGTCCTTTAGAAACATGGCTTTGGACCCATCGAATCCTTCGTCGTCAAGTAAAAAACCTTTGGAATCTGATAAGAGTAGACTGGTCTTTCTGGCCCGGACTATATTCACGCTTACCAGATAAGGAAACGGGGACCGCTCCTACAGCTATAAGCTTCTCCATGACGTGCATCGCAAGCTTACCCGACCCACTGATAAGGCACCTGTAACGAGCAAATTAAAAAACACGAGTGATATATTTTTGTAGAATCAGAAACAACCTTAAGCCCTTGATATCCCTGTTCAAGTCCGCCAGAACATGTTTGGCATAATACACCTGGAAAACACGTAAGATCATAATAAAAATTTACGATCTCATCAAGTCCAAGTCACCAGGCCATGACCAGCAGCTTCTGCATGTAAATTGGAGTTTGCAAGCAAGTTCCGGCCTCCAACTAAAGCACACTGTACAAAAGAATTACAATAATTGATAACTTTCACGGCTTTGAACTACCTCAAATTCTCCAGTCAGTCGCCGATATTGTCCGTAGAGATAACCAAGCTCCCGGAATCCAACGCCAATATCTCCAGTTAGCGTATCCTACAAAAGACAAATAAGTAAATGATCCGTAAAATGAGACACACTGACACACCTGATTAGGACCGATGTGATGAAAAAGCTCATCCATAAAGCTCTGGCAAAATCTCATCACCTGGAAGTAAATATAAATGATGCGTCCTTAGCAAAAAAAATTGTAAGAACCTCGGTGTCTGACTTTCCCTTCGGATCAAAGTCACTGCCACCCTCAGCACCACCGAAACTGAATGTTGAGAGCGCATTCTTTAAAGTCTACAAAAACGTCCAGCCGTTAGAAACGTGGAACTAGCCTCGACTGTAATATACTTGCTCGAGGCCTAGAAACTTGAGAACGCTCAAGTTAACAGACGGATGGAAACGAAGACCACCCTTATAAGGTCCGAGAGCCTGATTGAACTGTACACGGAACCCCCGGTTTACATGCTTCTCTCCCTTGTCATCGACCCATGGAACTCTGAAAATAATCACTCGTTCTGGTTCCAAGAGGCTTTCCAATACGTGGAGGTACCTTGGATGGCAAAGTCATATGTCATCAG